CGTACCGGGGCCGCCCCGGTGCCGTACCGGTGTGGCCCCAGGGCGGCCCCGTTACGGCCCCCAAGCTTCCGAATCTTATGGAAACAGAAGCTAGAGCTAATCAATTACCTAACAGATTCTTGGACCTATAAACAATGGCCATATTACAGTGCTCATATTTAACACTAAACCATGCGCTTCTACATATATTATGACAACTCCGAGTAGTTTTAAGCAGAAGAAATACCTTGGAATATAAACCATGACAATATGGGATATCATACCGCCAGAATTAGAAGATACTCTCAGTAGTTTCAGTCACTATTGGATATCAACCAACGCCAATGTTAGGCGAAAAACCAACAGTCATACGGGAGTTGCAACTTTAAATAAAATCGAAGATCAACAGCAACATTATAGCTAGAACCAGTGGTAACAGTAGTCAAACGCCAATAGTAATATTGGAGCTACAAATATCAGTAATATTGAAAAACAAAGATTTTAACATGAAAAAACGAATAAGATAAACAAATCTTACCCTTTAAGATGCCCGATGGAGATCTGATTTTGAGTATAATTTTCTAGCCAGGTATCTCACAAAATGTCCCACAAGCAATCATCCAAAGGTCAATGAATTGTTAGCTCAAAAACTATACCAACTCCTTTCAAAACATGGTCAAGTATAGAATATTAAAATTAAGTGTAACCTGCAAGCTAGTTTCTACCAAAAATCCTTAAATGCTCGGACAGCTATGTTGTAGATTTTTCAATGATTGCATTTCCATCATTGTTAGTCCTTTAGATTGTCTACCACAATTTTAAATAGTCAACAAACATGCATATTCCATACCAACTGAAATAGAAACCAAAATGTTAACTGTTCCACCCGTCCATATGACACAGCGTATTAACAATCATAAAATCCCCAACCTCAGAATCCAAGGGAAAAATTAAACGAAAAAAAAAAAAACAACAAAGAGAGGCGCTTTAATTTCATTTCACCTACATAAAAAAAGGAGAAATAATCCAAAAAAAAATCCTAAAAAAGAGGAGAGGAGGTTACTCCAGGCAATTTCCATTCCTTAATGGCCTCATCTCAGAGCCCACATCCACATCAACAAAAAATTTACAAAATTTAGCACAAGCTCAGATCAAATTCAAAAACCTCAGATCAAAATTACAAACTCAGATTCTACAGAAGAGGAGTTCCATGCCGGCATTTGGTCGAACACTTGGAGTGGGGTTGAGGTGCGATAAACGAGAAAGTTGCAACATCAGAATTGCAGAGATCGTCGCAATGCCGGGATGTTATCTGCGATTCTGAACGTAGGATTCGCGGCGGCGATGATAGAGAAAGGAAAAGGCTTTCGCAGCTGGTCACACCCGAACATCTCCAGCGAAAGCTGCATCAAAACTCAAAAAGATCAGAGAAGCAAAATCGAGAAATCGAAGCACAAATCGCAGCATCAAAACTCAACAAAACTAAGTAAACAAAATCATTTAAATCGCGTCATTAAAAGTCAACAAAACTAGAACGGGGAAATTTCAAAATCGCATCCGGAATCGCGAAAAAACTAGTCTTCCCCCTCTATTCTTCTCCGGCGAGTCGCATCAACGGTAGGAGCGAAAATCTCCAACGAAGAACGAAGGCGGCTCAACATCTCCGTCGCAGCTCGACATCTCCAGACGCAGAACGAGAAAAAGAGATCAATAGGGGGAGAGAGAGAGAGAGAGAGAGAGAGAGAGAGAGAGAGACTCGGTGGAAGAGAGAGAGAGGGGTGAAGTGAGATGGAAAAAGAGTGAGGCGCTGCAGTTTCCTCTTGTTCTTCCTTTATAATTGGATCCATCAAAATCATCATGCTCGTCGACTTGAATTTAACACTCGCATTTCTCTTCAGATTGGCAGCTCAACATCTCCGTCGCAGCTCGACATCTCCAGACACAGAACGAGAAAAATAGATCAATAGGGAGAGAGAGAGAGAGACTCAGTGAAGGAAGAGAGAGAGAGGGGAGAAGTGAGATGGAAAAAGAGTGAGGCGGCTGGAGAGTTTTTTTTTTGTTTTTTTGTTTTTGTTTTGTTTTTGAAAGTGGCGACTGGGGAGTTTCATGTGAGGGTTAAGAAACGAGACACCTTCTTTACCGTTGAAAGAGAACATTGTTTCAAACGGCACCGACAACCGAGCGGCATTTACAACCGAGAATATTGTTTGGTTGGAGCCTTAGAGGGTACTAGTTTTTTTTTGTCCACACCCGTTGCTGCAGAAAAGATTATTATATCATAAAAGAAGTTAGGATTTTTACATTACATTATTAATTTATATATATATATATACATACACATATATATTTATTTAAAGTTCTACTAAAAAGATTTATGTACATACATACAATAGATATATATATATATTTGTTTAAAGATTTAGTAAAAAGGCTTGTACATTATATTACTTTTTTGGTTTTTTTTTTTGGTTCTTCGGAGCTGGAGCTTAAAAATAAATTTTTTTTGAAAAGTACTATATTCATCACATTAGGAAAAGAATAATAAATAGAACTCCAAACCTCCCCTCATTGGCTTAAAACCGAATAGCAGAGGAAAGGCAAGGGAATAAAATGATCAAACAAACAATAAGGGGCAAGACTTTATGCGACGACTCTCCTAGGAGGCCGTCACTGTAACTTAAATTTTAACTTTAACTTATACTTATTGAGATTTCTTAAAATTTACGGAACATTTTTTTTTAAAATATAAAAAGAATAATTTCATAAGAATGAATCACTAAATTTCTTAAAACTTTTCTTAATTTCAGTTAAGATAAAACGTTCTAGAAATATCTTTCAAACAGAGCAGCATTTGAACTCTTGTTTCAAATACTCTTTAAAAGCCTTTCTAAAACTAGCCAATTCAATCGGGTCATTTAATTTTGACTTTAAAACGGATTTCGTGAGAAATCTTAAATTCAAGTACATCTTAAAGCCCTTTTAAAATCAATTATTTAAATCGTCATGTTTAAAATTTATTTATTTGTTACGTGCCATGTTGCAACGTTCTAAAACTTAAATACTCAAAACGAGGGTTGTTAGCTACAACCTCGGTTTCCTTAACATACATATGTACCTATACTTTTTAAACATACCTGCTTGAAACCTTTAAATCATATATACATATACATGATTTTTCTTAAACTTACTGCGGAAGATAACTGCGTGAACGGTATCCATTCCCATCTCCACCATTCGTCCGCCGCTTGCCATTGCCCTTCAAGAATTGCTAATAGGTTTCTTACCTACA